AAGACATTAAAATGCTAGAAATAAATAATCCATAAATATGCTATCATGATGTATCATTTATTCCTTCCTTGAAATGATATTTTAAAGTTAATTATAAATCAATAATAAAATATTGACTGAAATAATTGATGTATTGTTGTTAAAAAAAAAGAAAACTAAAATAAGCAGCTAAAATAATTCCAGTTCCTGAAATGCATTAATGGTAAATGTCAATATGATATGCCGGATGTTTATGTTAATTTCATCCAAGGTGGAAATAATTTGGAAGGAGTATATGTGACAAAAACATTCAATGAAAAAAATTGGAAAGTAAATTGGAATGTTCTTTTTGCAATTGTTTATGCTACAATGACACCAGCTAAAATTGGTGCAGGGGATGAGCAAAATGTTGTAAGTTATTAAATTTTCTTTTAAAATACTTGGATTATTGAATGTTAGAAAGAAATGAACAATTATTTTATTTGTAGAAATAATTGATAACTTAAATTGTTGAATTATTTATTGCTTTATTGAATATATTTTAGTATATTCCTATTTTTCAATTCATACATTCATCATTTCTAGTTAGAAGTTATTGTGATACAAAATAGGACAAATTTTTTATAATTCATTCTTTTAGCAATTTATTATAAATTGGAAAAATTTAAATAAATTTTCAAAAAAATTTTACTGCTATAATATGATAATTAATTATGTTATTTTAAAGAAAAAAAAATGATCTGTCAATCAAAATGAAAGTCTATCAGATATGTATTCGAATAATTAATTGAGAATTGAAGGGTTAAATTTCAAATCTTTTGGAAGCATTTTTTTTTTCAAAATCATTTCTAAATTTCAGATTACACCATATGGTTTATGTCATTATCGTTTCTCAAAACTACGTGACAAAATATTTCGGCGACAAATAAACCATTGCAAATTTGATGGTATCCGCAATTTTACAGCAATTGATGACCTTACACAACACAATTATCAACATTCTGTTGTTTACATGTATGTTGCCTTCAAGCAAATGTTGTTTGATTAATTATAGTGATATCAATTAATTTGATCTCAGATATTTTTGAATAATTTGAAATAATGACAGATGTTGTACTTTTGAATGGTATCTGTGTTATCTGTTACATTTCTAAATGGTACCTGTGTGATACATTTTTGAATAGTACCTGTGTGGTGCATTCTTGAATGGTACCTGCGTAACATGCTACATTTTTGAATGGTACCTATCTATATGATCTGTTACAAATCTAAGTCTTTATATGTATTGTCTAATAGTGTTATTTATTTATTATATCACGATTCAAAACTTTCAAACCATATTGTAGACAAAATACCAAATCAAATGCAGATATTATCGATATTGAAGCTGAAGAGATGATGAGTCTGAAGAGCTCGTTAATTCCTGATTGGAGCCTAATTGTGGAAACTCAGTATGTTTACTTAAATTGAATTAAGCATATAAGTTAGAATATATATATATATATAAGTTAGAATAATATTGCTTCCAATTAGGCACTATAAATCCTTAATACAGTCTAATTTATATCCGATTATATAAAATAAATTAATCTAATTTATCTAATTTGGTCTAATCTAATAATTTAATCCACTTTGATACAGTCTAATCTGGAAACTATTTAAGGCAACATCACAGTAAGTTACGCATGTTGAAACACAGAAAAATACATAGCATAAATGTGTTGTAAAAAGATAAATAAAGTTTTGCTTTGAAGTAAAATATGAAAGTTTAGTGTTGAAAGTGAATTCAAATTTTAAACTTTGCATTATACTGAAACTGAATTTTTTTTTTTGAGGGTAAAAATGAAAATGACAAATCGTACCGTTCTTTTTGCTAAACCTTTCTGTTCGACGAAATTATCAGTTGATGAATGCGCTCAGACTGTATTCAATGCAAAACGAATGGGCAGAAATTGGAAGGAAATTAATCAAAAATTGAATATTGGAATTAAAAAAGAGCGATCAAAGGTGAATATAATATATTTTTAATTTTGACCTCTCTAAAATTCAATAAAATTTAATCGATTGTAAATTTTAATAAGGGTTAATGATTTGCTAAGTTAAAATAAGAGATATTAACTGATAGATAAATACTGATCTCTAAGAATGCAAAGAATATCTTTGATTATTAACGGGATAAAATCTTCATCTTACTGTTAAAAGTTGTCAGAAAAAAAAAACTTTTAGAATTATGATGAAAATGAATTGTAATTCAAATATCAAAATTTGAGACAAATATAACTCAATCAATTTGATCTTGAAGATACAAAATATGGAAAATTATTGATAGATAGGAAGATTAATGGAAATGATAAAATGGATACGGTGAATAATGAACGTTCGCTAACTGAATGTCTATCACGTTTTTTTTTTTGTGATGCAATTTACGCCTTCACGTATTCTTTAATGTACGATAAAAATTAACATTTGAAATATGCATTTGTCTCGTAAAATACAAGAAATTCAAATATGCATGTTTATTTCTTTTACCTAAAACAATGATGGCATATGATATTTTTTTTAAAATTTCATTTAAAATTTCAAGCTATATTTTTTATTTCTTTCTTCCTCTTTTTTTTTTAGAAAACATTGTTAATTATATTCGAAAATTATCTTTATTTATCAACTTTTCTTCTTTTTTTTTTGTTTTTTATGCAAAAATACTTTTTCTAACTTTAAGTAAGAGTTTAATATTGCAAAACAGACGAACAATGTAAAAAATGAAATTAATAAAAAAAAATTATAATATGTGCATATTTTTAAATTTTAGAAATGATAAATTACATATATTTTTTATTCTTTTTAATTTGATTTACATGAAAGGTTAAATGATATTTCAAATCAATGACTAATTGAGATAAATTCTTGAAATTTTTAAAAAAGTTTAGTTGATAATAAAATGAAGGAAAAAGGGAAATTTGAAAATTTTTTTTTACAGCTGAAATTCATCCTACAAAAAAGCAACAACGAATTTCCAAATAAGAAAGCCGATAGTTTAGCATCAATTTTAAACAGTATACTATTCGCTACAGATAAGGATTTATTGGATGCAATAAAAGAATTTAGAAATACTCCAATTATGTAAGATTTGACCTGTTTTTGTTTGATTATGAAGAGAAATGAGCAAATAAATTCTCCAAATTACTGTAATTATTTTAATTCATTGAATTTGAAAAATTATTTCGGTCTAAACGTAGTCTAAATTTTTTTTTAATTTGAATTAAATTATCAATAGGCTAAAATTATAGATTTGTCTTTTTGAAAGGCCTATTATTATAGGTCAGTATTTGTGGATGCTATTGGATTAGCCGGTACAATGACATCGTATACTGTTGGCAAAAATGCTTTTACTACGGAAGTTCCAGAATTTCTCGAACGTTTCCTTCAAGCTCTCTCACAAACGACAAAGATTGATATTGCGATTATTAATGATCTAAAGGTTATATGTTATCATTTTTTATTTTTTCACTTGTAAAATTTATTTCAAACAGTTATTATACATTTCTATTGTTAATGGAAAATTAAAGCCTTACTATCCATTGAATATGATATTTAATTATTTACATATAATTCACAAAAAAAGTTAAATTTAATAGAATTTTATAAACTATTACTTTTTAGACTTGGATGAAAAGTACAAATGATGAGTATTATGTTAAGCATATAGCATTTACTATTGCAAATATTTATCGTCGCTACTGCGATTCAACAAAAAGTCGCAAATATGCATGCGAAAATGGAAAAAATCAAGTAAAAGTTTGAAATTTAAATTAGTAAATATTTGTATTAAACAAAAAAATCATTGAAGCTATTTTAAATCTAATGAAATTGCGCTAAAATTTTTGAAACGTCTAAAATTTTTCCTTTAAGGATGTAAATGAATTCACAGAATATATCATTACGCGATGTAAAGATGATAGCAATTGTCAGAAAAGTGCACTGCAAATTTTTGAAAATTTGCCATTATTAAAGTTTGTTTATAATTTCAAAAATTTAAATAATATTTGAAATTTCAATTTTAAAATAGCAAAAAAAATTGCATATGCTATATTTTTCTTAAAATTTAATATTATTTTCTATAGCCTAAATTTTTTATTGAGTTTATTTTTGGAAAAAATTAAACATATCATTTATATATGTATACATATATTTTATTTATTTGAGTTTCTTTTTTAGTTTATTACCTTATGCAATTCAATTTCTATGTAAATCAAGTAATAATACAAACTTAGTACAACGTGAAGCACTACGATTCCTTCAACTTTTTGATGGAAAACATTTTCATTGGAAGGTATAAAATTTGAAATAATTGTTTTTTCATTTTTAAAAAGAAAATTTTTTTCAATGAAAAAAAAACGAAAAGAAAAGCATTAAAGAATGAAAAATATTCGTTCATATAGTAATGATTTCATTAATATATTTTAGACAATCAATAAATTACTTTCTATCTTTCGTAATGCATGTCCATTACGTCAAACAATCACCGATCAAACGCTTGCAATCGAAGTACTGCTAAATATTCTACCATATAAAGAATTGGTTGGAACCTATTTGCTCAGGTAAGATTTTTTTTTAACTTTTTTACTATTTCATTTTTTTAAATTATTTGTATATTATTAATTATTCATAGTTACTAGTATAGGAAACGAAATAGAAATAGTTTGATTTGTTTACAAAGGATAATGTGCAAAAATATTGAGCATGCAATTAAATTGTCGTTATATAATGTATTGAATATCGGGAAACGGAAAATCTTACTGATAATTAATATCAATATTATAGATAATAATAAAATAGCCGATAAATAAACTAGAAAATGTTGGAATTTTTTAAAATGTTTGAGAAATTTTATAATTAATGTGATATTTGCAATTGAAGGATCTTTTTTTTTTCTGCAAACTGTTGATATTTTAAAATACTTATTGTATTAATATTTATTGGTATTTTTTCTCGTCAAAATGTCCTTTTACTTCTACCATTATTTTTCTAATTTAATTTGTCATTTAATTTCAATTTGTAATTTGTTTCCTTAATCAATGTGACAATTGCAGATCTGAAGAGCTTTTTCCAATAGAACACGAAAAATGGGCTTACTTTTATCAAAGCATTACTCGAAGACGGCAAATTTCACCTGATGTAAGTAATTGTTACATTTAAACATACAAATTTTGTAAATTTAAATCACAAAAAAATTTCACATCGACAAAAAAATTTTTTTTCACAAGTTTACAAATTTTACACTTAATTGCAGTTCAATTCATATTGGGCCAAAATGCGTTCATTTCGAATATTTCAACCAAATTATGCTCATCGTAGTTTAAAAGCTACCTCAGATGTTTCTACAGTCAATATTGCAGGTAATTAATATAACTGATAGAATATTA